TGCCTCCCCCCCTGTGGCACAAGGACATTTATCCCAATTCAAAGGGACCAGCTGAGATTTTTTTAAGGTCCCTGGGGCAGCCATCCAGTAACAAAAGCAAAGTTAAACAACTCCAAACAAAAGCAGCAGAAGAAAGGGGGTGTGGTGGTGGAAATCATGCCCAGCTAAGTAGGAAACTTTAATGATGATACATGGGAAAAGTTAAAACAATTAGAGCTTGAATCAGTCTGGCCCCGGTCCCACCTCGTTTAGTTAATAAACGGTGCCCTTCGTCATGTTTGATCTCACACGTCGTTTTTTCCGAAGCGGCGAAGGAGGAGGCTCCCGGGGTCGGGCCGGTCAGACGGCGGCTGCTGCGTGGGCCGGGGTGCCCGGAGACGGTGGGGGGTCCCGGAGGGGCCCCAGGGCTGCCCTGTGTCCCCCTCTTCAGCCTCCCACCGGGGAGAGAGGCGTAAGCACGGTAATTATTTGAATACATGCACTAATTAGACATGGAGCTGCACAGACATAAACTACATGAAAATCTTTCATACCTCGTGCAGAACCTCAGAGGCTTTGTCTTTTTAAATATTTTGAGGCCCATAGAAGCGACAATTCCCACACATGAATGCCTTCCAATTAAGACCTTTCAGATTAAATAGCTGTTGGAGGCACTGAACTCTATTATAATTATTATAACTTCTGACTTTCCCACACACACTGAATTGAATACCAACCAACGATTAAAGCCAGAGCCATCGGGATGTAGCTACGTAAGCAAACATCCCTCGATGATCTAGCTGCTCAACTCCAGCGAGCCCGCCCTCGCCCTCCTGCTCCCACCACCCCGGGGGTCTCTGTGGTCCGAGGGCCAGAAATGATGGGGTGGGACGGGGCTTTCGGGCCGGCTTTGCCCCCGTTGGTGTTGCAGCTCTGGGCTCCCTGTGCTGGCTTACAGGGAACCAGCCCGAGCAATGCCATGGGCGGCGCCGGGCAAGGGGATTTTCAGGAACGCTGTTTGCTCACGGCTGCACCGGGGCTGGCATCACCCTCGGGGAGAAGGGTGTTTTCCAGCCCGGGAGCTGCCCAGATGCCTCCCACGGTGACTGGGCAGTGACATCCCCAGCCCCACAGAGCTGCAGCTCCGGCTCCAGTGAGACCCGGGGCCATCAGGAGAGAGAAGGTACCTGGTTAAACGCTGCTGAAGAATCTAATCCATTGGCCTTACGCACAGGCAGACAGGGTAAAGCTCCACATCATCACTGGGTCACACCGGTGGAGGGGAGCCGGGCACCCCTGGGCGTTCACGGAACGCGCAGGGACACGACGGCCCTTCCCACCTCTGCACCCGATAGGACACCGGGTCCCAGGAAGGTCTCAGGAGTTTAAGAAAAAACAACAAAACAAACAAAAAAGCAAACAAACAAAAACCACCCAACAACACACCCAACACCCCATGAAAACACAGGCCAAACCTCAAACAAGGCTCTCGATGCACAGTGCTGCGAGAAGTGCAGCTCTCCATCTCCAAGACGCGTTCTGAAGTTTATCTGGTGTCCTCCTTACCCGGTGTCCTCCTTACCCGGATGCCGAGGAACCCCCGCACGCAGCGGCACTGCCACGGGGCAGACCCGACCGGGGACGGGGCAAAGGCCAGGCTGAGTGATGTGAGACATAAAACCAACGATACAATTTTATTCTGTATTTCATACAAACGGCTCCCTCCCCACGTTTTACAGAGTTAACCAGCATTACCCAGTGGCACGGGGAGGCTCGCTCGCGGCTCCTACAAACCCCATAACCTGACGGACGTGGCCTGAAGCCCGGAATGAGTGTGCCCCGGGACGGGGTTGTGCGAGGCAGCTCCAGCTTTAGGCTCCTCGGGGGGATCGAAGGAGCCGATTGCTCCTAACGAAGGGCACCACGAGACAACCGCGTGGAAAAATTGATTTGCGGGAACTCGGTTTTAAATTAAAAGAAAAGCCCCGTGCCCAGTGCTCCACTGGTGCAGCAGCCGGGCGAGACCACCGAGGATGCCCTGCCCGCAGCCCACGCAATTCGGTGGTAAAATGAGGGCAAGGAAACAATTTATGAATTTCTAAGGCGTTCCCTGTGCCAGGGCTGCGAGACTCCTGGCATCCCCGCGGGACACGACCGCCGCACCGACGGGCTCGCATGGGGGACAAGAGCCCACGCAGGCGGCTGCCGTGGAGAACGGGGAGAGCCCCCTGCGCCACTCGTGTCGTGAGTTTTCCATTGCTCAGCCGAGCTGGATTCAGTCCTGGGTTTGGGCGAAGCCTGAGCTTTCAAGCTACGGGCACCAGAGCTTGGCCCAGCAACATGCGAGGTTAATGGAGGAATTCAGCACAAATGCTTCTGGCAAGGGCCAACTACAGAGCTCCAAGCAGAGGCCTGCAGACCAGGGCAGCAATGCTTCCCACCTGATTATTGTAAGCCTCCTCATCATTTACAGCTGCCCCCAGCACTTCCCTTCAGACAGTCCAACCTACCAAGCAAGGCTATGCAAATACAAGAAAAACAAGGCTCAGCGCCACGATAAAAATTTCCGCGTTGTTTCTTGTACTTCAGTAACTAAAAATCCAGATGGCAGAAGGAGGGGGAGGAGGATGCTCTGCTGCTAGGCGGAACGCT